GGACAGGTAGCACTAGCTACAATATTTATGAAGAAGGATATGTTATCAGAAGACTGCATTTTTTCCTGTTTGCAGGCTATTTACAAACTCATCCTGACTTCTGCCAGTGTGTTTATTATTTGCAAGAATTCATTCGTACACATCACTCAGAACAAAGAGAAAAGATTCATTTCTATTTGAGCACAAATTTCATTTCACTGAAATGGTTTTTTTGGATAAATGGGATGGGAAACTCTCAGCTTTTAGATTGTATGCAAACAGGTCTTCTAAGTGGGCTGCATTCATTGTACTGAGGTCGTTGATCAAGTTCTTTCTTTCCCACTCCACAGCTATATGCATGAAAAACAAGCTTTTTGAAGCGGGAAAACAGACAGGAACTGATGAACTATTGACAATGAATATGAATAATGAATAGCAAACAGAAGGGATCTCTGCATCAGAGAATTTCAGGTTATGCTCTATTTTTGACGGTATGGAGGGATTTAGTGGCACATTGTCCATCTTCATATTTTCACTCCTAGAACCTCAACTTTTTTTCAGGAAGACCATAGAAATGTATGTTTGCAAACAATAAAGATCATGTGGATAGACACAAAACGTTATCTCAGAAATTATGTGTTTGTGGACACTGCTTAGTGGTCAGGATCACTATCGTTGCAGTTGGCCATCTCAGTTACCCCGTGGTGCAGCAGAACATACCCCAGAACATTTAAGTCCCCTCAAATGTAGTGTTGGGATAGCTTGGACATCAGAGGTTTTATTTTTTGGCAGTTCAGAGAGGATCTGCTATTTACTACATTTAGCCAAGTGTTTTCTGAGTTCCTGAGGTTCTCACTGAGTCTACTCCTCTTTCCTAGCATCTCCACTTTCAACTCAAGTCTTAAGTACTGCTGCAGTCTGCTGGCTCTTGTTCCTATGCACCAAATGATACCAAATTCAAAGATGTTTGTGTAATTTGATGGCAATGTTTCCTGCTCATGAAATTTGGCTGAAAGACCCTCTCAGGGCCCTGTATAGTTTCTGAAACTGTTGTGTCCCTATTCTAGGAAGAATAGAGATTTATAGACTATAGCATTAACTGGACTTCCGTGTATTTCAAATAGAACTTTCACTGAGCTTACTTATTTGGAACTTTAATTATTTGTGTCAAGATGTTTTCCCATTAGTCCCTACTAACAATATTAAGCAGTCCCTCAAAGTACCGGTCACTATGAAAGCGTTTAAAGAAGTGGTCCTACCCTGGACATACGAGAGTGCCGTGTTTTAGCAGGAGTGCTGCTGCCTTGGCTAGTGCTCAGCGGGGAAGGGCAGGTAGGCACGAGGGGACACGAGGTGGTCCAAGGTGGCCCCCCAGCCGCTCACCCATGGGGAAGTCCAACCACCGGCTGCTAACAGGGGTCTGGCAGCACCACCGAGGACGTGGCTGCCCTGCGAGGGGACAGGCAGCTCCGTGCCAGGGAGTTTACCAACCACACGGGCACTGGAAAGGTTTGGAAAACCACTTGTCTCCACACTAAAGTCATCACACGTATAAATTCTTGTATAGGGCCTCCGATTGCAGATATTTAAGTGAAAAGCTCTGGCTCAGAGTCCTGCCAGGCAGCGCGGGAGCTTGCTGTGGTATGCACTATCTAACGTAATTCTGGATTTACTGCCTGAATGAGCTCAAAGATCAGATCGTATCTTGGCCTGGAAATGATTTAGATCAGATGTAAGGATCTATGTGAAGTAGTCACACTACTTCCTTTTATAATTTTTCCTAGCACTACTCTTCAGTTGTCTGTACATGCAGAATTAGGGCCCTCAGTCACTTTTGGGTCAGGGACAGAAAGTACTCAACAACCAGCAGCTGCAGGCTCAACAACATTCATAGAAAATTCATCATCACACTCTTCTCCTCTGAGGTGGTATCAAGAGTTCACAGGCAAAATTAGTTGTTCTGAACATATGCTTTATTCAGCGTATTTTCAAATCTTATCCTCCTATTCCCCAAGGCTATAGGCACGAAGGATCCCAGACTGGTGGATCTTGTTCTTTCTACACGCCTAGGAATATAAATATTCTTTTACTTGATGAATCACCAGAAGGTAATCAACCTGTCACCTGCAGTTGGACAACAAGAGGAAGAGACAGTGAAAAAAAAAACCTACAATGAAACATCCGTGTTCCTACAGATGCTGCTCCTCAGACCTCTCCCATGCATTATTCAGACTCACAAGCTCATAAGATAAAGGCTCTTCCCAGACAAGACAAAAATATTGTCCGTCTTACCCTCTTACATGGAGAATAGATAGGTTTTCCATTTCATTAAGCTTATGAGGTTTTGCTTCTATCAGTCTCCATCACCAGCTTTAGAAGTCCGCTCTTAATACCCAGTAAGACTGATGTCTAGGTATGATTGCAGCTTTTTTCATGTTATATTTAACAACTTTTTTTCTCATCATGACTTTAATTTAACTCACGTTCCAGATTGGTTTATCTACTTAATAGTAGAATATAATCTGAATAATATCTCAGTATAACTTGAGATTAACATAAAGATGTAGGCCTGGATTACTTGCTAAACAGTAATCCAAATTTAAAATACAACACTTAGTCCCTGCTATAAGATCTACCTTTCATTTTTATTCTAGCATTGTCCTGGATAGTATGTGTGGAAATAAACTACGGTAAATCTGCTAGGTTAATGAATTCATTTGTATTCTTCTTTTCAAGTTTCTTTACCATACTTTATCACTGAGTTACTCTGAATTTTCAGTGATGCAACTGGATAGAACTGAATAGGAAAAGCTGACATTCTAATTGTATCCAAATAGGAGATGATTCAGTGGCTCCAAGGAAAGGAGCCAACTATGAAAGACCGTTTGCAGTATGATAAACTTCTATATCTGGAAACCTAACCCCTCTTTTGTTTTATAACCTTCTAATCTTTCTATTTTAGCAAAGTCCTTTCCTCTTCCATTGGAAGATTTTGATCACATGCTGCTTTCTTCTGCATCCACAGGGAAGGATTTGCACACTGTAACTTTCTAAGGAACTGATCACAGCAAAAGTCGATGGTCCATGTCCTCTGCTCATGCAAAATCCCACTGGATCCCACATTCAGCACAGGCCAAGTTAGCCATGCACTGCAGGGCACTAGGCCAAGGAAACTAGTGACCATCTGAGCTGCCATCATTTCAATAATTAGACTTTCAGCTCGGAATTAAAATATTAATTTGTATTTTTTACAGAAGTGGTCATTGAAGTATGCGAGTGATGTGGTCTCATTTTATAGGAGTCTATTTTACAGCACATTGAGCTATTGTATGCCCTGAGAGAACTATCAAATGCTTGTTTTCTCTAATAAGAAAACTGCTGAGGCAAATGAATAACCTTACTGTTTTCCAGTACATTTCACACAGATTCATTTTTCAGTTTTATCAAACAAGCTGCCACTTGCTTTGAGTCTGGTTCAGCACAGCAGTGCTTGACTTTACAGAGAAGATATTGATGCCACTGAGCAGACGTGCTCAAGCCCTTGAAGGACCAGGGCTCCCATCAGCACTGATACCACCCACTTATATCTTCCTCATTCACTTTGCATTCTTCTGGCTGCAGAAATGCCTTTTTGTGTGTGTGTGTGACTGAAATACATTTAATTGGTATTTATGATGTTCTCATTAAAAAAAAACAAAAACAAACAAACAAACAAAAAAACTATGTCCTGCAGAAGAGCAAGTCCACAAAAGAAAAAAAAAGTGAAATCCGTTTCTTTTTTTTCTAGTTTCTTTTCCATGCAGTTTCCATGTTTCCCTGAATCAGTAGTTTGTAGAATGGAAAAGATGTGTTTGACACGCTGGTTGAGGGCACAGCCACAGTATTTTCTCTTCAGGTGTTTTTGCATCCTGACTTAGTCCATGAACAGTGATCCATAAACTACCATCATTAATATTAAATACTTCTTGCTCTTCTCTCTGACATCTTCAGATCGCTGCTGGCTTCTCTATTATTGTTAAACAGTCTCAGTCTTCACTCTGTCATCTAAAAATCGCTAGTGGCTTTTTTTCTGCTTTAAATTGCACTGACTTGTCAAAGTAATATATCATTCTACTTTTGCAGCATGATAGTAATTTGGAGTGGCACTGAGATTTTAATTAATGGCTCATGACTGTTGTACAGAGCTCTGAAATCCTTCATTTCGAGTGTACGTAAGCTCTTCTGGTATACTATTGTACTCTACACTTAAGTACTTAAGTCTATCTCTTTGAATCACAGCTTTCCTTGCCAGAAGTCATGGCATCGTTCCTGGGCACTTACATAGGAAAAGTGACATTCACATTTACTAAAAATTACATTTCTTTTTGTCATAGTAAAGCAATCTTTAATTTTGTAGAACCTTTTTTTTCGACCGCCCTGAACTCTCTTTTCATAATTGTAATATTAGGGATACTCGACTGGTTGCATGATCAGACTGACAAATTCAGGAAAGACATTCACATTCACATTCCATTTTATTGTTGATTTGATCTGAAAAGGCAACCTTATTTTTCCAGAATTTTCAGTAACAATTCCTATAATGCTCTTATACCACATTTTATTGGGCTGGAACCAGTTAGTGGGTGGGTAAGAAAAATCACTAACAAACTCAGCAATAGCTATGGAAATGATGCTCAGAATATTTTTCCACCCAGTTTCTGAGTACAATTAGGATAGAATTTAAATGAGGAATTTAAATGAGCAGTAAAGTGAAAGTCCTCTTAGACAACATAGTTAGCTATATATCTCAAAGGTGTTATATGCAAAATAATGAAGTTGGACTCAGTTTAATTGTAGATTCCAATCAGGAAACATCTTTTTCCTACATATGTGTGCATTGCTAAGCTTTGCTAGGTGTATGTTAGCATTAAGCATCGCATTCCTGGAAAGGTATTCTTATAATCTGTACATTCTTATAATCTGCACAGTCAAGAGTTTCCTCTTTTAAACTGGTAGGATGGAATACATGGGAATGCTCTTACCTTCTGCCACACAGCTGCCTGCATCTCCTCAGTACCTGGGAGCATGGACTGGGGCACGTTGGCCCCTTGCCCCTGGGAAGGAGCCCGGAGAGGAGCCTGTGTCATGGCTGCAGGAACCTCACCCAGCAACTTGCAAGGTCTCTTCCATATCAGTTCATCTTGGCAATGTTCTAGCCTGCTCATGAGCATGCTATCTCTCTCCCTAACACATACTTATGTCAGTCAGATTGGAAGGACATAGACTCTTTCAGAAGCAGCAGTGAAGGACACTGAATCCTAGCCCTACAACACCCCACTCTGTGGTGGTGGAAAGAGTCTTGCATCACAGCATGGCTGGCAGCAAGGGCAGGATTCCACGTGTAGGTTGAAATGTGCTTTGGATAAAAGGTGTCATATAAGTGTCAGTCATCATGTTCCCTGTTGGCAAAGGGTTAGGTGACTCATTTTCTCACCAAGGCTATTCCTAGAAAAAGAAAATGTATGTGACTTAGAAAGGCAGGAGGGCTCCAAGTACAAGAAATCTTATAGTCTTTATAAGGGTGCCTTAGGTATCTCAATTAAGTACTGCTGAAATCCTGAGTGATAAATGATCAGAGGAAATAGCAATTGGTTTATATTAGTCATTGTGCAGTATCACCTAAGGACCCAGTAGGGGCATCAAAGATCTACTGTGCAGGAGACCACAGGCACATGCATATGCAATCAAAGAAAGCTTTACAGGGAGAATTGTGGTTCTGTAATGTTTTAAAATTTGTTAAAAGCTGTGTGAGAAAGTCTTCAACATCCTAAACAGGTATCTCCAGTGCAATATTGCTCTGTTTCCCCTATACCAATACCCCCATTGCCAGTCTTTTCCTGGCTGTAGGAATGATTCTCGTTCAGCTGGCATGTCTCATTAGAGAAGCTGTATCTACACTAGCACTGTAATTCATGCAGAGAATATATTTTAAAGTGAGTTGTCCTACTGTTCCTATTTCAGTCTGCTTTGTGGAGCCGTCTCAGGGTTCTCAAGCTGGATTCCTTCTAGATTAAATTAAACCAGAGGACGTGCTCCTCGACAGTACCAAATGTGCTCCGGCCACTAACGGCATTAGTAACCTCCTCCCCACCTCGAGTAGCATGGACATTGGATCCTCCGTGCCAACTGTTCCCCTCTTACAGATCTACTCACATTGCACCTCCCTGCCTGCCAGGGTGGGTGTCCATTGAGACGCTGCAGCCGGAGCCTTGCTGATTTATGCCATTGAGGAGCCGGGCAGCGCTGTGGAGCCTCTGCGGCTCCCCATTCAGTCGGCGCGTGGCAGCGGCCGCCCCGGCAGGCTTTACGCCTCAGAGCCTGGACACGGAGCTCACGGCTTGGACACCAGTGTGCCCACACGTTCTGCCTCATATACATCCACACAGCTTCCAACCTCTTCCCTTGTAATTCCTCATGACCCTTCCCTGCCTCTTCTCTACACCAGGGGAACCTATTCCTTCCCTAGATATAATAGGAAACCATTCAATATTGCAAAATAAGGAAAAGTTTAAACCTGTTGGGCTCGCAATCTTGAAGTGGACCATTATCATGCTGGAAGACATTCTGGATACTGCTGGACAATTATTTCACCTATTTTTATCCCTTCACACTGTTTGTTTTCCTATCTTCTCTGCTGTTTTATTTCTCCCCAAATGAATAAATCTTGGAGTAGAGCATTTCCTGAACTGTGAGGATTTGTTAGACACCAATATTCAAAAATTATTCTATTCCAGACAGAAAAAAGACATCAAGGTGAATACAGAGACTTGAAAGCTCAACTATAAGCACCTGCTCATCTCTTCATAGACGAAGTTCAGCTGAGTACATCTCGCTTCTAAACTTGTCCTGACACTACAGGGAATGTTGGCTTACAGTAAGGGAAATGAGAAAACCAAGGAGCTCTGCCAAGCTCAGTGCTACGAACACTAGAAGTATTGGGAGCAAAGGGAAGACTTACTATTCACCTTGTCACTGACAAATTTGACAGTCACATTTCATTTCCAGTGACATATTCAGACAGAGGAGGGAAATACCAAAAAGAATATTCATTCAGACCCAGGTCTGCATGGAAAAAGGCTATCAGTGATGTTAAGGGATCTTAGTTAAAGATTTCACATATTTCAAGGTGCAGAATGAGGTATTCAGAATTCAGCCAGTTATGATAACTACAATGAGAAGTGGAATTTCTTATCAGAGGTCATATCTGCACGCTGCTTCCAATTACCCTGTTGCTATTGCCCCCTCACAATATTTTCCAGTAAAGCAAAATGAGGAAAGGAAGCCCTACCCACACAATGAAACGAACCAAAAAAAAAAAAAAAGAGAGAGAGAGATACACACTAACTAAACAGACACGGAGTTCGAACAAAAATCCCTGACATACAGGACCCAGAGCTGAACTTTTTCTCAGATTGGCGGTGGCATAAAACAAGGAAGAATATATCCTTGATTCAGAGCTGTTAGGTGATTTTCAGGACACCTGACATAGTCTTCTTTCCCCTCAGAAAATCCAGTTTTACAAAGCAAACAAATAGGGAAATGAAATTGCAGTGGTGGTTATCCAAGGGGCAAGAGGGCTTTTTACTCAAAGCATGAGACCCAAATCTCTGTCTGTTTACAAAGTCTGAAAATTCAAACTTCAACAAAAGTTGTTGTCGACTTTGGTGAATTGTGGTGCCTGTGTCTAATTGGCTTGATGGCCCTTATACTCACAAAAATAAAATGCTTTTCCTATCTTCATTATACTCAAAATATAAACGCAGAAGTATTTTTTGAGGCAGATACACTACTCCAGAGTGAGCTGGTGCTGTCCTCAGAGGGGAGGGAAGGCCCAGACTTCTGTCTCAGCAAGGCAGCAGCCTGCGGAAAGAGTTGTCAGGAGGCTCTTGTTTGACCAGAAGGCTTTAGTCTGTCATAGCCACATAAAAGATGCAACATATCTTTGCTTTGTGCATTGATCTATCGGTTGAAAATGGGTTCAGATGTGGCCAGGTGTACTTTTTTTTTCCAAAGCGTGCTCTTGCTTTTGTTGTCCCACTTTGCTATTCTTAGAGCCACCCGTGGCCTAGAGACTTTTCAAGTCACTGTTCTTATTTACTGCCATTTGCTGATAAAACCATCTCTCCCAGCCTCATTCAGCCTCCGGTGCCTCCTGCAGCTACTATCATTGTCAGCTACTTGAAAAAGAAAAATAAATGCAAAACATCCTTTCTTCTAGACACGTAATCCTCCATATTTCATCTACAGAGGCTGTCTTTCACATCATTAAATTGCTTCATCTCCTGCTGTCAGCTGTGCCTGCAGAGCTTTGGGCAGGTCGCCTTCCCTCCTGTTCGACATGGTACAACATTCAAAATAGCTGTGATTCTGAACAGGGAAAATAGCAGTTTGCCTCTTACATCTCTATTGTCTCAGGGCTTTCAATAACAACCTTTCCAGTGGTTATTTATTGCTGCCAGCAACACAGTAGTGACTAGTCCACTTCATTTTGCAAATATAGAAGAGCACATTTGGGGAGCTATTATGGTATCAGTGCATTTTTTCTTGAGTTAATGTGAGTCTTGAGGCTTACCTCTCTCTCTCACACACGCATCCACTCCTCCCACCTCCAAATTCAAGAAGCATCAGCCCCCAGGCACACGGATCCTCTTCATCTCACTGCTCAGCTTTACCGCTGCTCTTTTTTCCCACTGATGTTTTTACAACTGGCTACCACCTTCTGAGAAAGGTCCGTGTTTTACAACTAATTTGTGTATTACTTCTAACTGCTAATAGCTTAAATAATTGCCTATGCTTTTTTTCTAGTATAGAGATCTATATTACTGTTCTTGATTTCCAGAATAGTTCTTTGCAGTGTTTCTGACTTACCTGATCAAGTAAATGGTTTTCCTAGAGTGCACATGGTTATAAATCATGGATGTCAGGCGTATTAGGGCAATAGGCCACTACAGAGACTGATACCTGCTGGCTTGGAGCAATACTGTCAGTTAGTTTGGCTGAGAGGGTCTGGCTGGCTCCCTCTCCTTTCTTCATCTACAATTTCTTCACATTATCTTTATTGTTACCTTTTCTTGGCTCACTGTGCTTAAAAGCTGTAACTTAAAATTCTTCAGAATCTCCTAAATCAAGGAATACTCCATGATGCATGGAGTGAAAGAATAAACAAAAGTAGGCCCCAAACCAAGAGACTGTTCTCAAAAACAAGGTCTTTCAAGAAGAGGAAGGTACGAACTACAGGAAAGGTGAAATTTTACAGGAATGTATCAAGATAACTGGAAAAAAAATAACCATCACATTTTCTGGAAAGGCAGCAAGAAGAAGATGGCCTTGAGGTGGATATTTTTTTTAATATTGCTGAGAAAGAAGCACCAGATTTTCCTCTAGTTCAGTTTGCATAGGTAAGTTTTGTAAATGTTGAAGTCTGAACCAAAGATCAAACATCACCAAAGACACTGAAACTGTATTTCGTATCTAGGGAAGAAAAGCACTCTTGAAAGACAGCAGTTCCACCAGAGAAACCAGTCAGCGGGCGAAAATTCTGAGCCATTTACAGGAGATCTAAAACTTAACTCTAAAAAAAAAAATCATATACTCTTACTGTAATCACTGCATCAGAGCAAATTGTAACAGGGGGCTAGGTATCAAAATCACAAAAAGAAAAAGATCTAATCAACAGAACTGATATAAACTGAGAAAAATCAGAATTTATCATCAGCAAAGTAGAGCCAGACCTGATTGCAAGAGTTCGAGGCAACAGAACACAATATCACATTAGAGTAAAAAAACAATCCATAAGTGACAGAAATACAGAAAGACAGAGGAAATTAAGGACTTCCAAGGTTTCTGCAGCCTGAAGATTAAAAAAACACTATCAGAGCCAGTGTGCTGGAAACAACCTTAAAGATCACTTAAGGTCTGTGCTTCCTTTCAACACCATCAGCACCCAGACTTTGGCCAGAACCGTATCATTTGGAAGCAAAAACTTTCTCTAGAAGCTTGCAGGTCAGGACTTGGTATGTCTGTAAAGGAACAAGTCATTCACACTCTGGTGAAAAAGATTTTTCTCAAAAGGGAACCATGTGAGGAGGATGTCTCAATAAAAAAGATGGAACCCTTATTAAGTGTAAGTTTGTACTAGTTTGATATTGACACTTGAGCTGATCAGAGCCTC